CACACACACACACACACACACACACACACACACACACACACACACACTATAAGTTTTAAACAAACAATTTAATACTGGTACACAGAGATGATGATTGTGAAGCTTGGTTGACGTGGAGGAGTCAGCGGGTGGGATATTTCCTTTACTGCTAAATGATGAACTAGCAATTGGCTGAGCCATCAAGGGTTAACTCTCTCACTCTACAAGGCAGTAGGAATGGAGGGAGATGTGCGCATTTCTCCTTTAAGTACACTGCCTTGTTAATTAGATCAGCTTGCTGAGACTGCAGCTGCTGCAAGTGCCCGCCGTCCTGAACCCTGGTGTGTGTCTTCCCCCCCCCCCCGCTCTATGGAAGATGGGGTAAGCGGGGTGCAGGAGCAGAGGGGAGGGGGACACCCTGACATTAGCCCCCCTCTTCCTTTCCTGCCCCCTGCACAACAAGCAGGAGTATTGGGGAGAAGCTCCAAGGGAGAGGGCAGGAGCAGCACATGGCAGTGGGGGGAGGGACAGCTGCAATTGCTAGCTTGCTGGGCAGCTGCTGCACGGGGAACTTAGAGGAGCGGGGAGCTGATGGGGGGGCTGCTGGTCCACCCTGGTTCCAAGTCCCCACCAGTTAGCTGCAACGGGCTGCTCTTCCTGCAAGCAGTAGACAAAGCAGGCGGCTGCCAAACAACGTTAGAAGGGAGCATTGCACAACTTTAAATGAGCATGTTCCCTAATTGATCAGCAACGTAACAACGAAACAACATTAACCGGGACGACTTTAAGTGAGGAGTTACTGTAACATGGATTACTTGGTCTTTCACCTTCAAGACAATGTTTAGATGTATTGTTTAACACATTGTATCTAGTATTTAAATAAATGGAATAGTTCAGTAATCAGTAGTTTACTATGCTGGTAATATTTACTTTGTTAGTTTAATACTAGTAAAGAATTATAACAAAACCTGCACCAATGATGAATGAGGAATAGCTGGTTGAAGCTGAACCCAAGCAAGACAAATTATACTGCTGGATAGAGGAGAGTGCTGTGAAGAGTTTGTAGACCTGCATTTCAGTTCCTTGTCTACTCTACAAAAACTTTTGAAAAAATAACACTGGAAGCCCTAGCATAGTTAGGCCACTGGCTGCTGACTGTTTCCACCACTGTTATTTAACCTAGCTGGTAGCAAGTCTAATCTGCATTATGCTGAAAAAGGTGTCAGCAGCCATTGGGCTTGCTAAAATAGGGTTGGCGTTAGTGAAAAACTTGTCTAGAACTTCCCTAGCGTAGAGAGGGCCTGAGGCAGTGAAGACCTCACCTCAAAGTGAGAAACACTCTCCGTCTCATAAACATTCCAGTTGTTCTTCCATGTTGGGCAGTACAGACCTTTCAAGATCCAAAAAAGGAGTCATTGTGGTTTTTGTTCCTCCCTGTACCCGCCATAGTTTCCCTTGCAAAATAAGGTGCCATCCAATTGGAGGGGAAAGTTTGAGCCCAGACGAAGTCTCTTAGGTGCTCATGAGAGAGAAAGCAGCACACAACCACCAGAGTGTTATAAAAGGCAGCTGATGTAGTAATAGGGTGGCTGCAGATGCTGCTCTGACAAGATCATTTCTCCGCTCACTGAATGTTCTTTCAAGAATGCGTATACCTTTTTGTTCTACTACGTTCTGGGTTATGGATTCTGTTTGACTAAACCACCAAGACACACAAGCTTTGTCTGCAAGAGGGAGCCTTATGTTATGCTGCCTGTTGAAAATACATCAGGAGTCTTCTGTATTAGACAAGATGCTTTTTTCCCCCTTCCAAAGCATCTGTTTGTGAGAGAGACTTTTTTGAAATGGGCTCTGCCACACCTTCCTGTATACAATTTTGTTGAGGCTGGTGCATTTAATAAACAGTGTAAAACTGATTTTACAGCATTCTATTCAAGATTAAGACCAAAATAGAGCCCTGATAATACAATTCTGGAGAGCTCAAGTATTAATAGAAAGTAAAGGACTCTTTATATGTATTATTAAAGTTTACACAAACTGAGTGACTTTTTTGTTTTGTTTCCAGCTGCTGCTGGCTTTCTGACAGTTTCCAGTGTCATCACCATGTCAGCCCCTTTCTTCCTGGGGAAAGTCATCGATGTAATTTATACAAATCCCACTGGAGATGTCACCGACAGCCTGACCAGCCTCTGTGCCTTGCTAAGTGGAATTTTTGTGTGTGGTGCTGCTGCTAATGCTATTCGTGTCTACCTCATGCAGACTGCAGGTAAAAACAAAATGGGGTCAGGAGACTGTCTCCCTCTTTGCCATAGAAACAAAGTATTGTATAATGGTCTGAAAGAAGTCCCTGAAGCTAGCGGAGATCTTCTCTGACATAACTGTCAGTGTACTTTATCACCTAGGATGCGTGTGTTTTATCCCTTCCAAGAGAGTTGTTAATTCATTTTTATTTGATGTTGAGAGAGATCTTAAAACTCATTTTGTATAGATTCCAACATTTTATAACATTTTAGCATGACTTCTGTGTTGCAGAGCCTTGCACCAAGTCAGTAACTGGTGTGGGTGTGGGTATTTCTGTATGTAAAGTTTTGGTATGTCATGCTTTGCTGGAAATAGTCATCCTTTTTGCTCCTTATAGGACAAAGAATTGTGAAACGACTGAGAGCAACTATGTTCTCTTCTATTCTGAAGCAAGAAGTTGGGTTTTTTGACAAAACCAGCACAGGAGAACTGATTAATCGCTTGTCTTCAGACACAGCACTGTTGGGCCGTTCCGTGACTGAAAACCTTTCTGATGGACTAAGAGCAGGAGCTCAAGCATCAGTTGGGGTTGGAATGATGGTATGTCTGTCATCTTCTGCCTCTCCCTCACTGCTCACAGCAGGTTCAAGGCTGTATAACTTGCTATCCAGTAATGGCTGTGTGTGTGTGAAGGTTCTGTAGTCTGCTATAAAAGCTGTTGTGCTTTGTAGAGGCAGACTTATTCCCCTGTTTTCTTAATATCTACAATCCCCTTTACACTTATAAAATTTGCGGACGATACCAAGCTGGGAGGGGTTGCAAGTGCTTTGGAGGATAGGATTATAATTCAAAATGATCTGGACAAGCTGGTGAAATGGTCTGAAGTAAATAGGATGAAATTCAATAAGGACAAATGCAAAGTACTCCACTTAGGAAAGAACAATCAGTTGCACACATACAAAATGGGAAATGGCTGCCTAGGAAGAAGTATTGCAGAAAGGGATCTGGGGGGTCATAGTGGACCACAAGCTAAGTATGAGTCAACATTGTAACGCTGTTGCAAAAAAAAGCAAACATCATTCTGGGATGTATTAGCAGGAATGTTGTAAGCAAGACACGAGACGTAATTCTTTCGCTCTACTCCGCTCTGATTAGGCCTCAACTGGAGTATTGTATCCAGTTCTGGGTGCCACATTTCAGGAAAGATGTGGACAAATTGGAGAGAGCAGAGAAGAGCAACAAAAATGATTAAAGGTCTAGAAAACAGACCTCTGAGGGAAGATTGAAAAAAAAATTGGGTTTGTTTAGTCTGGAAAAGAGAAGACTGAGAGGGGACATAACAGTTTTCAAGTATGTAAAAGGTTGTTACAAGGAGGAGGAAGAAAATTGTTTTTCTTAACCTCTGAGGATAGGACAAGAAGCAATGGGCTTAAATTGCAGCAAGGGTGGTTTAGGTTGAATATTAGGAAAAACTTCCTAACTGTCTGGGTAGTTAAGCACTGGAATAAATTGCCTAGGGAGGTTGTGGAATCTCCATCATTGGAGATTTTTAAGAGCAGGTTAGACAAACACCTGTCAGGAATGGTCTAGATAGTCCTGCCGTGAGGGCAGGGGACTGGACTAGATGACCTCTCAAAGTCCCTTCCAGTTCTATGATTCTATATACTCCATTGTAATAAACTGCGCCTGCAGCCAGTTACGAGTGTGCTACAAAGTGGATACTCGCTTCTGTATGACAAGCCATGATAAGAGAGATGGGGGAGGAACTCTCATTGTGTTCTGTCCTTTTCTTTTTTGAAGGATCGAAAGTGAACTGTGCGCCACATTTCTTAGGTTTCCCCATTCATATATCACCCAGAATATAGCTGTCAAGTGGCGTGCGCCTGCATCCATTGAAATTGTAAATGGAAGTTTTGTCATTGACTTTAATAGGAGCAGGAGAGGGCACAAGGGGCCTGATCTAAAACTGGGTGAAGTCATGTGCATTGGGCCAAAGCCTTGTTGAGCAGGGTCAGCCTTAAATATCAAATTACTGATAAGAATTTTGCAATGGATAATAGACTGAGGCAATGGCTTGCGTAGGTAGAATATCAATAAAGGGTTTCAGTGTTACTGATGCATAGCAAGCAAAACACTTTCTGGTGGTGGGTCAGTTTCCTAATTTTTAGTACATAAAAAACTGACACTTCCCTCTCCTCCCCCTGTTGTTTATCTAGACTGAACTTTGTTACGTTACCTTATCTCAGAGAATTGGCAACTTGGTGGCAATCCTTTTTAAATGATAAGCATGGTGGCTTTCTGGTGTCTGTTCAGGAAAGACAGACAGGAAAAGTCACTAATAAAAAGAGAGGCTTTCTAGTTTGGCAGTGCCAGCAAAAGTTGGCAAGAGTTTCTACTCTGTAAAGATTTAAAGCATTATTTAAGTCTTAAAATTTTATCTCTGATAAGATATATGGCTTTCAGTCCTCTGTTAAAGTAAATGTTATGGGCCTGCCCTTATCCCACAATATAGATTGTCTAAGAATAATTTCTCATTAATTTCCATGAGGAGTTCTGCTTAAAAATTGCTGGCATGGTATGGTCCTACTAGGTTAACAGGGGGGGAAAAAAATTACCTGGGGTGGAAAGGCTATTGTAAAAGTGCCTTACAGTCTATCATATTAGTAATACATCTGTAGGATCATTTTTTAAATGTATCTGCAAAATTTTTATCTAGAACACCAGAAGGAAAACAACCAAATGAAATAACATGCAATAATAAAATTAACACTTTTAAAAAAGCCGTCTTACAGTATTCGGCTACTTTTGCATAGATGCTTTGATGCAGCTTGTTAATTGTAGGTGATGACCTTATAGGACAATTAACTAAATCCATTCTTCTGACACACAAGAAAAGTAAATAGGAATTACCTTTGCTGGGACTGCTAGTTTGCCAGATGGTAAAGAATATTGGTGATCTCTTCCATTCCTCAACCCCACTAAAATACTATGCAATATATCTGTTCTCTACATGCCCTTAAGCCAAACTTTCTCTTCAATATTTCATTGTTGATGGTGATACTTTGCATTTCTATAACACCTTCTGTTAAAAGATATGAAACCTTTTACAAATATTAAAAAATTAAGCTTTTTAACACACTCAAAAGGGAGCTAAATAGCATTGTCAATTTACAGACCGGTTAAGTGACTTGGCCAAGCTCATACAGCAAAGAAGTGGCAGAGTCAGAAATTGAATCCAGACCTCTTGACGTGCAGTCCCTTGTTCTAACCAGTAGCTAACATTCCCCAAATGGAATAGAGGAATGGGCATTTTGTCTGTAAGAAATAGAAGACAAAGGAAAGAAATTGTGACCACACTAATTTTACAGACATCTGTTGAAAGCAACCACACTGCATTAAGTCTATGTACTAGTGTATTTTAGCAAGACTTCTTTATTTGTATGCCAAAATATTAACCCCCGGACACTTACTTCTTCTAGTTTTTTGTTTCTCCAAAACTTGCTGCATTTGTTCTGAGTGTTGTGCCCCCTCTGGCTATCATAGCTGTGATTTATGGAAGATATCTGCGAAAACTTACTAGAATGACCCAGGATTCCCTTGCAGAAGCAACACAGGTAATCTTGTTAAGAAACTTAAGATATCATGTTAGATACAATTAAGTTAAATAAATATTGTAGAGTTGCCGAGGTGCTGAGGATAAGAATACCTTTCATTGCCCTGAGTCAGACCTGTATCTCAGTACTAACATTCATTTTTTTTAAAAAAGCTTTATCTACAATGTAGCATGAAGTATCTAAGATCATACAAGATTTAGGAATTCTGCTGAGAAAAGGTTAAGGGAATTGGGTGCTTTCTCAGTATGAGGGGGAGAAATCTTATATGGTTTGGGACCTGGTTGTGTGCGTGGGACTACCTCTCTCCTTGGGCCATACTATTGCGTTTGAGATTACTAGAGTTGCTCCAGCTGAGCTTCTTAGTATAAGAGGTAGCAGCCAGCAAGTCATTCTTTGTGAGTGGTCCTTGATGTTGGAACTGACCCCATGCTCCCCCTTGGATCCACCTGAGCCCAGATTTGTTAACCTTAAGGGCATGCTGCAAAGTTAATCTTTTCTCGTAGACAATTGGGGAGGGGTTAAGATGCAAGTTGGAGGGACCTCATTATTAAAGGGACATCTTGTGGAAGGGATTTTATTGTGTGTGCTGGGGCATATTTATATATTGTAAAATAAAACTACTTAGAAGATGGTAGTGATCTCCTTTAATAGCAATGCTGGGGACAAGATCTAGCTGAAATATCCACAGCCTTCATCTGTGTAAGCCCTGGAATATCATAGTTATAGACTCCTTGGCAAATTGACCTGTGCAGAAGAAAAATTAGCCTTTTGTTCATCTCTCCCATCCAAAAGAAGCTGATCTTTTTGAAAACAGGTTGGAGATTTCCTACTAATGAGGACTTTGCCTCCTATGCTTTGCAGAGGTTGAAGAGGAGGTAAAATTGTACCATTTTCCAGTGCTTTTTTTCTTTTAGATATGCTGCTCCCAAATCCTATCTTACCTCTCATGCCAGAGCATTGTTCTAGCATAAGATCATGTTGGTGTCCATTAGTAAGCAGTCTGATTGCATTTGGATACTTCTAGAACTAACATTTTTTGTTCATTTGAAGTGAAATTTACCCACTTAATTGGAATTAAGACTAGTCGGGCTAAATTCATACCTAAAGCAACTCCATTGAAATGAATGGCGTTATGCAAGCAACGAATTCAGCCTTTTCTATTTAGCATAGTATATATTAGAGTATTTGTTTTGTTTTTTCTTCGTCATAAGAACATAAAAACTGCAATACTGGGTCAGACCATGGTCCATCTTGCCCAGTTTCCTATCTCCAGCAGTGGCCCATATCATAGTTGCAAGGGGAGCATACAGAACAGGGTGATTATGGAGTGATCCATGCTTGTCTTTTGCTTCCAGTAGTCAGAGGTTTAGGGTTACCCCAAGCATGGGGTTGCATTCCTGACCATCTTGGCTAATGGCCATTGATGGACCTATCCTCCATGAACTTAGCCATTTCTTTTTTGAATCCAGTTATACTTTTGGTCATCACAACATTCCATGGCAATGAGTTCCACAGGTTGGCTGTGCATCATATGGAAAAAGTGCTTCCTCTTGTTTGTATTCAATCTGTTGCCTGTTAATTTAATTGGGTGAGCCCTGTTTTTTGTATTATGTGAAAGGGTAAATGTCACTTCTCTATTAATTTATTTCCACACCATTCATGATTTATAGACCTCTTTCATAACCCCCTTTGTCCTCTTTTCTAAGCTGAACAGTTCTAATCTTTTTAGTCTTTCCTTGTATGGAAGCATTCCATACCAGTGATCATCTTTCTTGCCCTTCTCTGAACCTTTTCCAGTTCCACTATATCCTTTTTCAGATGGGGCAACCAGAACTGGACATTGCGTGGAAGTTTTCAGAGAAATATCCATGGTGACTCAAGATCTTTCTTGGGTGGTAATAGCTAATTTAGACTCCATCATTCTGTGTGTATGTGGAATTATTTTTTCCAGTCCGCATTGGATTGCACTTATCAATGTTGAATTTCATCTTCCATTTTGATGATCAGTCCCCCAGTTTTGTGAGATCCTTTATAATTCCTTGCAGTCTACTTTGAACTTAATTATCTTGAGTAATTTTGTATTGTCTGCAAACTTTGCCATTTAACTATTCACATCTTCTCCGTATCATTAATGAATATATTGAACAGCACAGGTCCCAGTACGCATCATTGGGGGACCCCATTGTTCACTTCTTCCCATTGAGAAAACTGACCATTTATTCCTATACTTTTGTTTCTTATCCTTTAATCAGTTACTGATCTATGAGAGGACCTTCTCTCTTATCCTATGGCTGCTTAGTTTCCTTATGAGCCTGTGGAGAGGGACTTTGTCAAACAACTGGATCACACCCTTATCCACATGCTTGTTGACAGATCAAAGAATTCTTAATAGATTGGTGAGGCATGACTTCCTTCTAGAAGAGCCCTGTTGACTCTTCCCCAACAAACTGTGTTTATCTGTGTGTCTGGTTCTGTTCATTAATACAGTTTCTACCAATTTGCCTGGTACTGAAGGCTCTTTGGTCTATAATTGCCAGGATTACCTTTGGAGCCTTTTTGAAAAATTGACATTATAGTTGACACATCAATTTGGGACAGTACTTCAGAATTGTCATCCAAAAAGAATAGTACTGATGTGGGGTTCTCTCCCCCCCCCACACACACATATCTCTGCGGTAAAGACTGATGCAAAGAATTCATTTAGCTTTTCTGCCATGGTTGTCTTCCTGGAGTGCTCTTTTAACATCTTTGTCATATAGTGGCTCTGCTGCCTTCTTAGCAAGCTTTCTGCTTCTGATACACTTCCAAAAACTAATAGTAATTTTTTTTTTTTTTTTTTTTTTTTTACCTTTAGCAAGTTGCTTCTCAAATTCTTTTTTGGTCTGCCTTATATTTTTATTTGCCAGAGTTTGTGCTCCTTATTTTCCTCATTAGGATTTGACTTCCAAATTTTAAAGGATGTCTTTTTACCCGTAATGGCCTCCCTTATGCTGTGGTTTAGCCATGGTGGGATTCTTTTGATCCTCCTGCTGTCTTATTTTTATTTGGGGTATACATTTAGTCTGAACCTCTATTAAATGGTGTGTTTTTAAATAGTCTCCATGCTGCTTGTAGACATTTTACTCTTATGACAGGTCCTTTTAATTTCTAGCATCCTCATTCTTGTCACAATTACAAATAATGATAAATAATACTTTTTAATGTTCACTCCTTTCTTGGGTGGCTTGTTTTCTCTAAATTAAGATGTTTAAACTCCTTTTTCTAATCACTTGGCACAATCCTCTCATACTAATACTCAAGCTAAACCAGTTTTGAAACTCTTTTTTCAAACTACCTTGACATAGTTACTGTTTCCAGCTTAATAGAATTAAAAAACAGAAGTGAGGGGAGGGCAAAATTTTCAGTGGTATTGAGAGACTAGGATAGTTGTACTGATTTTACTTTCAGGCATTCCAGAATGTGAGCCTACCATGAGTATCTGTATGTGTTTTGTTTTTTTGCTTTAATATAGTTAGCCGAAGAACGTATCGGAAACATAAGAACTGTTCGAGCTTTTGGGCAGGAGATGACCGAAATGGAGAAGTATACAAGCAAAGTTGATTACGTGCTGCAATTAGCTAAAAGAGAGGCATTAGCTCGGGCAGGCTTCTTTGGTGCAGTAAGTATATTATGGTAGCGAAGAATCCACAGAATATGATCAAGTCCTGGAAATCTGTGATTCTTTAATCTCTCACTCACTCACTCACTCACTCACTCACTCACTCACACACACACACACACACACACACACACACACACACACACACACACACACACACACACACACACACACACACACACACACACACACACACACACACACACACACACACACACCAATTTACCTTACATTGGATTCCTATAAAGGTACGAGAAGAATTAGTTTTTCCAGTTCTTTTCCTCTTCATATCATTTGGTGAAGTAGGGAGCTGAATACCAAATTCTACTGCATTTGCAAAGTCATGAGGCTTAATTCACATTCGTAGTTTACACCTCCCTGCACCAGCAGAGACCACTGTCTCTCACAGGAGATTCACTTTTGGGTAGGACAGGTGATACATATGCTCCCACCCTCCTTCTGTGGAACCCTAAGCAAAACCCTGTTCTAAATTTTGGATTGGGGTTCCATAGGTATCCTGCCAGACACCTGCCAGAATTGTGTGGGTGATGCCCTGAATTAGCTCGTCCCAGGGTTGTCCTAGCCATGGGCCAATTCCTAGGCTAGCACTGGTCATTGTGCCTCCCAGTAGAGATCTAGGTGCTTGTGTCCTAACAAAGTCCCTCTGGATAGACTTTCTGCTGCCATGGGCCCTGTGCCATGAGTTTTATCTGCAAAAGGTGGTGTTCCACAGGATTGAATTGGCCCATTGTATGATTTTTATTTTTAATTTTTTTTACTGGAGGGGAGAGAGGAGGGAGCCTTATTTTGGGGTTCACCAGGGTTAGGCCATTTTGTATCTAATAATTGTTGAAGGTGGGGCACAATTTCTTCTAGTGCCCATCACAGCTGTTCCTTGGTGGGGGAAGAGATCAGTTGGGAATGATGCAAAGCTGTCCTTTCCAGCCTGGAAAGTGAAAGACTGATCTTCAAGTGCCTGCATTCCAAACCCCTGTACAGTAGCATTTTACGTGGCGTCTGGATCACCAGACTGATTATTTGCATTCTAAGAAACAAAGAAAGTTAGGAAACTAAACATGAGCAAAATTTAGTCCTATAGAATCTTAAGATTACACTAAGGTCCACTTACTATGGAGAATATTCTTTTTTTTTTAAAAAAAAACAAAAGCCTTAAAAGAGCATTTTAGAAGATGAAATTGAATTTATAAGGGAAGATCCAGTTTTTCTTCACTGTCGTTTTTTTTTTCTTTCCCAGACTGGGCTTTCTGGGAACATGATTGTCCTTTCTGTTCTGTACAAAGGAGGATTACTGATGAGTAGTGCCCACATGACTGTTGGTGAACTCTCTTCCTTCTTGATGTATGCATTCTGGGTTGGAGTTAGCATTGGAGGTATGGAATGTGAAATACACTATGTAAAACATAAGATAAAGGAATTTTTTTTTTAAGTAAGGGAAAACATTGGTTTTAAAAACAAAACAAAAACCTCAAGTGTTTTGTAATTCTTTGAATGTCTTCAGTTAACCAATAGCTTACCAGTACAGAATGGTCTTTCTGAGAAGATTCACAAGTATTTTTCCAGTGAGTATGAGTCAATCAGTATTAATGGCTTTTGACTCGTTAAGACCAAATAGTTAGTTTAAAGCTTTCCCAAGAGAATGCAATGGTTAAATTTTTCAAGGTGCATTTCTTCAGTGTCCGGTTTATAATGCTAACTTTTCTTGATGATGATCTTTGTGTAGCCTATGATGGTGTTTATAATTTAAACAAATATTAAGGTTTTATTTGGATTAAAATGTCTTGGTCTCTGTTCAGAGAAATTATTTTATGAAGGAAGGCATGTAGGAATTAGCTGTAATTCCACACGGATAATTGTCTAAAGCTGCATTGGATCTTTAAGTGCCAGCAGAAGACTATTGTAGGGGATTGCCTTCTAGTGCAAAGGCAGAAAAGGACATCTCTTCTCTTTCCTGCTTTGCTCCTCTTCCCCTTCAGTGAAGATCAGAAACTGTAATCTGCTGACCCAGAGACTAACTGCCCCTCTTTAGGGAACAATCATCACTACTGCACACAGGCAAAAATGAGATAAGGTATTTCAAATAGCTAGCTTGTCAACTACTTGGAAGAGTTGTTTTTAAAGTGAGTCTGTTGCTTCTGATACATTATTGTACCTTGTTAGTTTGAAAACAGACATTGGCTCAGTGTTTCTGGAAGGGCAGTGAGGTCTACTTATACACTTTATTTTTCACTGGGCCCCTTTACTAAGCCCGTCTCCATATTTTCCATGATACTCAGAATTGTGCTCATGGATGCTAAAACCAGGTTATTTTTTCTAATATGTCTTCCATGTTCTTGGGTGATGCATAACGTTGTTGGTTGTTTTAGGTTTGAGCTCTTTCTATTCTGAGCTTATGAAAGGATTAGGAGCTGGAGGACGTCTGTGGGAACTTATCGAAAGAAAGCCAGAGCTTCCATTTAATGGTGGGTTCCTGTTTCTTTACCATTTTGCATTAGTGTTGTCTCTGACTGGTTATCAGGCATTTGACAACAGGTCGGTATTACTTAAAATTAACACCAGCTTTAAAATTCTCATAAAGAAGCTAGATTCAATGGAAATCTTCCTTGGCTACTGTCAAGTTATCTGGAGCGGCTCAGCAAAAGTATCAACCTAACGGCAGACTGTTAAGAAGCAGGGCACGCACCTCGATTTGGTTGTGAGTTCTGTATTTACATTTCACCAACCAAGTATCTAGTGTGAGCTGTGCACAACAACAGCCTTACCATGGAGTGTCTCAGCCTCCTTGGGTATTCCGAACTATATTGCCTCTCAGGTAATCTTGCCGTTGTGATAGATGGTCCCTTACACCAGAAATCACAATAATATTCAGGTAACTCCAAGTCCAAAAGGACCAGTCACTTACCTCAGATCAATTGCACTTTAGATCCTACACCAAAGACTATATTTGTAGCCAATCCTATAATAAAGTAACTAAAGATTTATTAAGTATGAAAAAGAAGTGAGAGTTATTTACAAGGTTAAAGCAAGTAAACATACACACACAAATTACTTACAGTCTTAGGCTCCAAAAGATAATAGAAGCTGCTGTAATATGCAAACTCTATAAATCCTCTAGGGTTAACCTAGGCTAAGCACTGGGGATCCCTTGCTCATGCTTAGAAATCTTGCCCTCTCCAAGTCCAAGAAGCACAGAGATGCAGTTTCTTCCTGTCAGGAATTTCTATTCCCTTACCCCAGAGTTCCCATGCATGTCTCCTCTTTATGGGTATAGGGGGAGCAATCAACAAAGTTTTATTGTGTCCTCTGATGTTCCACAACATTTGTCTGGTATCTATGGGCCTTCTTTGGTTGGGCAGGAGATAACACCTTCTGTGGTAAACTAGTATTTCACACTTGGAAATGTTTTTCTCCTGACTGTGGGGGTTTACAGTTTCAGAGCATACACTTAAATATTACCTTGTAACATGGGATACGTATATAAGTGAGATGACTGCATGCAGCAACTTACAAGCATTTCATAAAGTCTAAATACAGTTTCATAAACCTGATACCTATTTTAAGAATACTAACATGCCAGGTGAGCCAGACTGGTTCCAGCTTATGGATTTGCCAGTGTTTAGTTGAGGCCTAGGGTCCTTAGCATGAGCTGGCACTTGGTCTGCCAGCATCACATCTACGTTCTTTGCAACAATATTTTATTGATTAAAGAGATTTTTCATAGAAATTATAAACACAGAATTTGAATTCAACAGTTCTTCATTCAGGGTGAACTAATGAGTTTATTACCTGGCCTGGTTCTAATTCTTTAGACACAAAACGTATTACTCAGCATCATATTAGGCCATCTTTACAGTATGAGGATGGAGGGAAGAGAAGGGGGTTTTGGTCAGGATTGCACTTCTTAATGTTCAGTATTTGTGCTAAAGAAGATATCTATTCAGCAATTAAAGACAGAAATGTGTTAAGGGACTAGAAGGGTGAAGAAAGGACTCAAAATGGTACAAATGCTTCTCTCTTAATGAGGCAAATCTCTAATTTATTACAGACAAATGTTCACATTGATCAGGTTAAGAATAGCTCATTGATTTATGCTGTTATAAATATTACACAAATTTAATAACCTAGTGATGTGGATATAACAAGTATATAGATGAATATAGTTTTCCCATGTTTAATTTACTATCTATGTTTTCCTCTATAGGTGTTATATTTTTCTCTTTATAAATCTGAGGGATACAGGTATTTAAAAAAAGCTCTCAAAAAAGGTAGATGTGCAAAATCCATCTACAAATCTGAGTGACATTTGTTCCTTGATGTTGTAATAAAGGTTTGTTGCCATCAGCACCTGAAATGTATTGCTGCTTTCTTTAGTCATTATCACCAGTTTGAAGCCAGCAAGGGTCATTCAGTGGTTAAACCCATTGAAGAATTTTTGGATAAACACCACTGATCAATGTGTACTTAATTCTAATGTGTACTTAATTCTAATCTGCATTTAATTAGTTCAGTGAGGTTATCATAAAGACAGAAACTGTTATTTGGACTTGATCAGTTAGATCCCACTGAACAAAAATCATGTATCACTTTTGGCACCAGGTATGTAGATAACAAATATCATAAAGCAGTATTTTTATCTTGGAGTTCAAGTGACACGTAAGAAAAACACTCTCTAGTTTTGTTCTCGAGACTTACATTGTCATCAGAAATTCTTTACAAATGCAGCTATCAGAGTGGGAGGGGAGAATATGGCAGCAGACCAAGTAGAAGTGTTTTGAGTGAGCTCTGGCTATAAAGAATAGGTTTTGCATCTTATTGTATGTTTTTAATTTTGTATCAATTGTTCTGTTTCTGCTTCTTTGGCTAGAAGAGCTAAGAGTTCTAATCCTGGCTCTGATGCTAATTCACTATGTCGTCTTTAACCTCTTTGCATCTGTTTCCAGATCTCTAAAATGGGGATGACTCTTATGTATTTGAAAGGAGTGTTATGAAAATTGGTCTGAATGATGCTTTTGAAGATGTAAATGCTCTTTTATATAAGTGGAAATGAGTATTAAATCTGATGAACTGGGGTTAAGATTTGGAGCAGAAAATGTTTGTCTCACAGGTAACCAACAATTAGCTAATGTAACCTCCTCCAGCAGTCTCAGACTTCAGCACATTACAAACTGGAGGTAACTTTTCCAAATTAAGATAGAGTTTTTTAATTTCCTTTCAGCATGAAACACATTCGTAGAGAAGAATATAGGTCTCTGCCTCAAGGATTAAATATGGAGGTGATTTCAGAACTAAGCATACAGTAAAGGCAAAACAGCTTTGTTGCCCACACTCAAACAAAACATCTGCTCACTCTTCTGCATGGTTCTGACCTTCACTTACTCCAGTTTTTTTCCTGACAATATCTCAGTATCCTAGTTAGACTGTTTTCCTACATGTCTCCAGAATCCAAAGAGGAAAAATAAAATTCTGTGTATAGCTTTGATTTTTTTTTTTTTTACATTAATATATGGGGAAATATAAAGGAAGGACTTGCTGCATCAGACTTCCTGTACCGTTGAAGCATTACAGTGCAGTTCATGGCAGGCATTCCAGAATAACTGGAATCAGAGAGTTTACTGATACAGTAACAGTTGTACCAAATAACTTAGTGTTGTTAAATTGCTATTGAGCAAATGCATCTTTAAATGAACACTTAATGAATTTACATATTTATCACGCAACTTAACATTTAGTACCTCCATGGTTTAATGTCGGAGAAGCAGTTTGAATCCACATGCAGCAGCTATTGACAGAGCAACTACAGTTGACCTAAATGAAGATAAGAGACTGGGAAAGAGGAGGAAAGCTGAGGGGAATGGAAAGTGAAACAAAGAAGCATTACAAATATAGTTAAACTTGCTACAGATGATCACTTATTACTATACTCACCCATGCCTATTGTCTATCTACCTGCTTACCAGTTTAATAAAGTGAATAAATTAATACCCTGATTGCACTAAATTATCCTTTGCATAATATGATTATCTGTTATACCTAGGGCTTTACTAAATTCATGGTCAATTTCACGGTCATAGGTAGGGCCCTACCAAATTCACGTCCATGAAAAATGTGTCACGGATCATGAAATCTGGTCTCCCTTCATGAAATCTGGTCTTTTATGTGCTTTTAGCCTACACTATACAGATTTCATGGGGAAGACCAGCGTTTCTCAAACTGGGGGTCCTAACCCAAAAGTGAGTTGCAGGGGACTCGCAAGGTTATTTAAGAGGGGTCGTGGTATTGCCAATCTTACTTCAGTGCTGCCTTCAGGGCTTGGCAGCCGGAGAGGGGCAGCTGCTGACAGAGGGCCCAGCTCTGAAGGCAGCAGCGCAGAAGTAGGAGTGGCTGTAGCATACCAGGCCATCCTTACTTCTGCGCTGCTACTGGCGGTGGCTCTGCTGTCAGAGCTGGGTTCCCAGCCAGTGGCCGCCACTCTCCAGCCATCCAGCTTTGAAGACAGCGTCGCAACCAGCCGCAATGCAGAAGTAAAGGTAGCAGTACCACAACCCCCTCTACAATAGCCTTGCGACCCCCCGACAATTCCTTTTTGGGTCAGGACCCCTACAATTGCAACACCATGAAATTTCAGATTTGAATATCTGAAATCATGAAATTTAAAATTTTTAAAATCCTATAACCGTGCAATCCTATAACTAGGGCCCTACCAAATTCACAGTCCATTTTGATCAATTTCACAGTCATAGGATTTTTAAAATGGTAAATTTCATTATTTTAGATATTTAAATCTGAAATTTCATGGTGTTGTAATTGTAGGGGTCCTGACCTAAAAAGGATTTGTGGGGGGAGATTATAGTTTATTGTAGGGGGGGTTGTGGTACTGCTATCCTTCTGCGCTGCTGCTGGTTGCGACGCTGCCTTCAAAGCTGGATGGCCGGAGAGCAGTGGCTACTGGCCGGGAGTCCAGCCCTGACAGCAGAGTCACTGCCAGCAGCAGTGCAGAAGTAAGGATGGCCTGGTATACTACTGCCACCCCTACTTCTGTACTGCTGCCTTCAGAGCTGGGCCCTCGGTCAGCAGCTGCCGCTCTCCGGCTGCCCAGCTCTGAAGGCAGCAGCGCGGAAGTAAGGGTGGAAATACCACAACCCCCCTTAAATAACCTTGCAACCCCCTGCAACTCCCTTTTGGGTCAGGACTCCCAACTTGAGAAACGCTGGTCTCCCCCAAGAAATCTGTATAGTATAGGCTAAGAGCACATAAAAAACCAAATTTAACAGAGGGAGACCAGATTTCACGGTCCGTGATTCATTTTTCATGGATGTGAATTTGGTAGGGCCCAAATGTACTAAATTACTTTCACTGCACCTATTGCAGGCTCCCTCTTGATTTCCTGTCCTCAAACAGTGAACTCGCATAACATACGGGTTTTTTGTTGGTTTTTTTTTTTTTTTTAATGTTGGTGTACTCTATACATACTTTGTAGGATTTACCGGGGCCTGAACTGCTTGTGATCCTTTAAGTCCTAGATATTTACAAGCTTTATGCTGTTTCAAAAAAAGAAAAAAGTGACATTTTTTCTTTGACCATTCACTCACAATAGCTTGTTCTGGTATTTCACAAACTGAAGACTTTCAGTTTTTACTGAGCTGTTGCTAAAGGACACTGTATTGATTGGTCTGTGTTGAATACTGTTCTGCCTTGGACTTCAGTTAATTCCATCAACCATTCTTTTTTATGTTAAAAATCTGAAAATGGCCATTAGTGACTTGTTTGAATTCAATCTGGAAGCAGATTTGTTCCAGTGACAGCTTGGCTGAGAAGCTAAGCATTGAATAGCCAATGGAGATTAAACTACTCTTGTTGGTAAAGGTATTGTATGCTGGGAGGTTTAGTCTCCATGTGTTACATGTTAAAAATGGTGGGGGACCCACTACAGTTTTGTATAACAGATGCAGCACTCAAGCACCTGGTAAATTGGTAATGTGATCTGTGGTTTAGCAAATGTTGGGTGCCTCTGTAGTAGCCAGCAGGTTTTATGGAAGGCTGAACTGCCATTGTGGAGGTTTTGATATATTTTTACTGTCATTCAGCTTCTTCTGTATTTTAATTCTTCATCATTCAGATGGAATTGTATTAAACAAAGACATGTTCAAAGGTGCTTTGGAATTCAAAGAGATCCACTTTGCATATCCAACACGTCCAGAAATTTCACTTTTCCAAGACTTCAGCCTTTCCATTCCAGCTGGCTCTGTTATGGCACTGGTTGGCCCAAGTGGCTCAGGCAAATCAACCATTGTATCTCTTCTGTTGAGGCTGTATGATCCCATCTCAGGTACGTTTATATGTTACTGTGACTGCCATTAGAAATAATTGATATTCTGCATCTAAGAAAACACTTTTCTGAACAACCAGTGGAGGTGTAATGGAAGGGTTCTGAGTTGAGGTCCCAGCCTGAAAGCTATGCAGAAGCAACACTTTCCTCTTTACGGGAGAGCGTGCCTCACATTGCTGGGTGCTTGATGCAGCAGTTCTGTAGAGTCCTCTCCTGTTCTGTGTAGGCACGGTCACTGCGACATGGGGCAAAACTGATGTGATAATATTAAAAAACAATCTGTGGAGTAACCTGCCAGTCATTGCCTCAGAGAGGGGGAAGAGTGGGCCCCAACAGTTTAAATAAGGAAAACTGTGTGTGTGGCGTAGCCCTGCTTCCTCCCCACCCACTGGGGAGAGACTAGCACTGCCAACGGTACTAGCCTGCGTCAGCCTGTGCACTCAGAAGCCAAGGACAACCCCACTGTACTTGGCCCCTGCACCCAAGGAGATTCTGTGGACACTTTTTTCTCCTTCACCCCCTCCACATCTCTACTTTCTTGCACCTGACAGACTGAGGCATGATCTTCCCTCATATGTTTAAATGAGCACTGTAGAGTGCCTGAAAAAGGACAGGATAAATAAATGCTCCATGAAGTACACCACCTTTGTAGGACTGAGAGAGAGCACATCTCTTATGAACACCTGAAAACTGAGTATTTTCCTCCACTGCTTTCTGCCTTTTGTCAGTATCTTATATCCTGTATAACTTAATGTTCCTTAAATTAAGGTACTATCACTGTTGATGGCGTTGATATCCGTCAATTGAATCCACTCTGGTTCAGGACTAAAATTGGAACAGTGAGTCAGGTAAGGAGGAGGGAGAAAACTTGTTCACCTTAGCCTCTAAGGATAGAACAAGAAGCAATGGGCTTAAACTGCAGCAAGGGAGGTTTAGGTTGGACATTAGGAAAAAGTTCCTAACTGTCAGGGTGGTTAAACACTGGAATAAATTGCCTAGGGAGGTTGTGGAATCTCCATCTCTGGAGATATTTAAGAGTAGGTTAGATAAAAGTCTATCAGGGATGGTCTAGACAGTATTTGGTCCTGCCATGAGGGCAGGGGACTGGTCTCGATGACCTCTCGAGGTCCCTTCCAGTCCTAGAATCTATGAATCTAAGCAAGAGGGGAATTTCTACGTGAAGGAAGAAATCTGTAATCAGTTACTACTGTCTCACTTTCTAATTTTGTACTGTTAAGGACTTGTTTACATGGACACTTAGTGTGCAGCAAACTAGGGTGAGACTCTACAGCACACTAACTTGCCATGCACTAACTAGTCATGTGGACCCTGCTACCTCATACTAAAATTTTGTACTGCACTGTAGATTCACACCCCGGCTTGCCGTACACTACGGGCAACTACGCTTAAAATGCTGCAACGGCGCAGCTCTAGTGCTTTAATGAAGACACTCTATGCCAGTGGTGGGCAACCTGCAGCCCGCGGGCCGCATGCGGCCCATCAGGGTAGTCTGATTGCAGGCTGTGAGACATTTTGCTGATGTTGACCACACGCAAGCATGGCCCCCCGCAGCTCCCAGTAGCCACGGATTGCCGTTCCCGGACAATGGGAAGTGGCAGCGGCCCGCCGCTTCCCATAGCTCCCATTGGCCGGGAACGGCGAACCGCAGCCACTGGGAGCTGTGGGGAGCCGTGCCTGCGGACAGTCAACGTCAGCAAAATGTCTCACGGCCCACAATCGGATTACCCTGATGGGCCGTATGCGGGCTGCAGGTTGGCCACCCTGCTCTATGCTGATGGGCGAGAACTCTTCTGTCGGCATAGTTAATCCACCTCCCTGGGAGGCAGTAGCTATGTTGATGGGAGAAGCTCTCCCACTGACATAGCGGTGTCTACACAGGAGGTTAGGTTGGCATAACTGTTTCGTTCAGGGGGGTGGATTTTTTTCACACTTTTGAGTGACGTAGTTATACTGATAAAAGTCTGTAATGTAGACAAGCCATTTGTCTTGTTTTCTCACAAAAAGGGAGAAACTCCCTCTTGCCCTCATACGCATTAATTAGTCACTGTCATGTTATATTATATTCTAAAATGGTAAATTCTCAATTAGTCCCAAACTGCTTGTTCCGTGGTCTGCAAGTGTCTGATTGTGTAGGTTAGTTAAGTAGCTCCTGAAAGATAGCGATCGCTGGTAAAATACCTCTTGTGTCGGGCAGTGTTTCTCAACCTTTTTGATACCAAGGACCGGCTTGCTGTCTTCCTAAACTGTGTCAGGGAGATTTCAGGGACCAACGCTGATCCACGGACTGGTCATTGAGAAACACTGGTGTAGAGGACTGGAAAGTACATGGCTCACAACTTAGAACATAAGTTGCTTGATTTTTGTGGGACTTTCTTATGAATAAATAGTCAAGAAAGGACCTCCAGAGGCTAATGCTGCAGATATGCATGACTGCTTAGCTCCATGATTCCCATTGATATTAATCAAAGTTACACAATCCTGTGCTTACATGCTGCTTTGAAAACTTACCTTCTATTGTCTAGTCCTTTTGCTTCCTTACTTACATAATTATTTCCATTATGAAGGCATGCTAATATGACGCTGTTGGCACTTACTTTTCTAAAGGTGCAAAAAGTACACATTCAATTGTCCCTTAAAGAGGAGCCACCCAAACAGTTTGAAAGTAGTAGTCTTTTTACAGAAAGTCTTCATAACATGACTGGCTGGCTAGCTAACTGGGGTATCACAGCCCAGTTATTTTTCTAATCCAAATGTACTTCACATTCCAAAACATCATCTGTATTGCAAGACAGTACCACCGAATATCTTTCATGTAGGAAGAATCTCTTTTTCCTTCTAGGCGTGTCAACATTTAGTTTTTCTTGATTTTAAAAATCTCACTTTGTCCAGTTTTGAGTTACCAATAATAAAAGTTACAATACGAAACTTTTCTGTTTCATACAAAGAGCAGTCTTATCTTGTCCTGAACACCTTCTCATTGTACATCATTTGACTTGCCTTCTATTTCCTCTGCCTGTGTTTACACTTTCTTGCTGTTTCAGTACACAAAGCGCACAATGTGGGTAGCCTTATTAAGAAGAGATGACCTGTAGATGCAGCGAAGAATGATATGCCTGGTATCCTAGAAACTTGGGTTTTCTGAATGAACAGATAGCCTTGAACTCCTTCTGAAATATTAGGAGTCAATGGTCATGTAAAGTGTCATTGGAAAAGTTTTCCTCAGATTTTTTAATATTGACTTACTTTGACCTCTGACCTCCATGTTAAAATAATTGGGGCATTATTCGTTAACCCAAAAACATTAGAGTGTACAATAAATCTTAAAACTCTGTCATCTATTTGATCCTTTAAAGGGGACTTATTTTACTTGAGATTTACTAAGAAAACATATGTACTATAGAGATACCATATGAGCTATGTTTTTGCATTTATCAGGAACCAATTCTGTTCTCCTGTTCTATTGCTGAAAATATTGCCTATGGTGCCGAGGACCCTTCTATGGTAACTGTTGAAGAAATCCAGAAAGTTGCTGAAATAGCTAATGCTGCCAATTTCATCAGAGACTTTCCAGAAGGATTCCACACTTTAGTTGGAGAAAAAGGCATTCTCCTTTCAGGTATACCTCTGACATATTTTTTTGAAAAAAAGATATTGACACAGTAGAACAAAAAAAAGGCTTTATCCAGCTTGCTTTATCAATCAGTAGCTTTTGTTGGAGTACTGTTGTCCTAAGCACTTAATCCCTTCTTCCCCCAACATAAAATCCATTTCAGTAACTAGCAGAGATCAGTTCATGTCTAGTTACAGTCAGTTTAGATCTTTAGTTTCAATCAGAACCTCTTCTATTTTACCTTTCAGTTTAATTTAATAAAACTTTTTTCTTAGGTGGGCAGAAACAACGAATTGCAATTGCTCGAGCGCTGCTCAAGGTAAGCTTAAAAAACAGGTAGCTATTCTTTATTTAATTATTTCAAGAAGGAAAAAGAGGGGATGAGTCTTTCATTGGGGGGAGTGAATATCTTTTGAAATATTCAAAGTTCTGTATATTGATGAGGGAGTTGGAAGAGGAAGAGAGAGATGGTTAAGGCAATATATTTATTTCAAGTTTTACCGCCCTTTAATTTCTATTATGCTTGCTGCATTCTTTTTCCTGTGGTTAGGCTCTGACTAGAGCCACTCTGTAAGGAAGACTGTAGGCCAAGATAGAATGGTTCACTTAATAAGCCTTGCTCAAGACCAGGGATGATTTCCACTTTGAATATGGTGTCAACGTCCTTGCACAACTTGGTTTCCAGCCAGATTCATGGCGTTGCTAATTATAGCTTGCAGGGCACTTCGGATAAAAACCTTGGTTTGATGAAGTTTAAGTAGAATACAAACCAATGGCTCTCCCATGTCTTTTGGGGGAACCCCTTGATGTCGTTAAGAATAGAAACTCCATGCCTTTTATGAAGGAGAGTGAGGTTTTGGGTGAGTTGACCGTCTTCTGAAGATAATATTTTTTCAGCCTGTAAGTTCTAGTGATTGTTGACCAGAGGAAGGGGGCCTTTATTTTAATGCCTAGAATCTATAAATTACTTTTCATAGATTTCAACACCAGTGGACCCTCATCACCCTTAGTAATGCACACTAATAGATTCCATCTTAACATAGTCTGTTTGGTGTTCGCTGTGTTTTTAGCATTTTAGATGATTGCAAATTGTGTTCCTTAGGATATGTCTGCACTGCAATTAGACATCCGTGGCTGGACTGTGCCAGCTGACTCGGGCTCCCGAGGCTCGGGGCTGCGCAGCTGTCTAGTTGTGATGTAGATGTTCCTATTTGGGGTGAAGCCTGAGTTCTGGGATCCTCGCAAGGTTCTAGAGCCCGGGCTCCAGCCCAAGCCAGAACGTCTACACTGCAATTACACAGTCCCGCAGATTGAGCGCTGCACATAGGCACGGGCCAGCCATGGGTTTTTAATTACAGCATAGACCAACTCTTAAAGACTTGTGTTGCTTTAGGAAGTTGAGCTGCATCCAACTCTCTACAAGAGAGAGATGAAGGAAGAATGTGGTGTTGAAATGCAAATTGCATTGCTCCTTTTGTGTTTAACTAAATCTCTTCTGCTTGTTCAGTCTGGTTTTGCAATAATTCTTGGAAATACATGCTGTGGCAATTCCACAGTACACTATGGTTCTTTACATATCCAGTGTGTGTTCTTGGCCTCTAGTGGTAGGTCTACACAGCAAAGAAAAACCAACATCTGGCTCAGGCTGTGGGAATGTTTCATTGCTGTGTAGACTTCTGGACCTCAGGCTGGAGCCTGGGCTCTAGGACCTTGTGAGGTGGCAGGGTGGCAGCCCAAGCCTGGTAGCCTATGCAGCAGTGAAACAGCCCTGCAACTGAAGTGGGCCGGCCACTTTTTTTTCCCCTGTGTAGACATATCCTCAGTGGCCTGGTGCATTCCAGCCACCTAGGAAGTTGCTGTCTCCCAAATGCAAGATAAATGTTGTGCTCATGTGTAACAGGAGGGAGACTGCTTATAAACAAACTATAGGTGACCCGCGTGAGACTCTAAAATCAGGGGAAACAGTGAAATCGACCCTTAAGTGCTGCCAAATGCACAAAGTAAACAAACTGAAAAGATGAGATTTATAATCTTTGTAATAGTGATCTTAGGTGTTAAAGTAACAGTAGTAGGTGAAAAAAAGATAGATGTGATATTTTTATTTATATTCTATCCTTTTACTGTCTAGACTTATTACCTACTGAGTCTCACGTTGTAGTCAAGTCTTCTGATGAAGCAAATAATCTTGCTTGTAGTTTTAGGTCTATTTGTGAATTTTTTTATACATAAATAGAATTTGTATCCTTCAGGTCTTGTATAACTTTGTTTTTAATTATAATTTTACTTTGTTCTTCAGAATCCTAAAATTCTTCTTCTAGATGAAGCAACAAGGTAAGGAATAAAATAAAGTAAAGCTAGCAAATGTCCTATAATTAGAGCAGGAGACTTGGAGTCAGGAGATCTAGGTTCTGTTCCTGTCTGTGTGTGACCTTAGGGGAAAAAGTTAAACGACTTGCCCATCAATGGAATGGAAAAATACTTAAAGATGCTCTGATGAAAGCCACTAGATTAAGTGCAACAGACAGTACCTTATTACTTATTAAATAAAATGTAACTCCTATGAAATATTTGTGATTTACATGAATACTAAAACATTACACAATCTCAAAGGTTTTTGTATTTCTACTTTATGAAAATATTAATGTTCGTAAGTCCTGAGTGGATAGGTATAAGTACACCACATCCACTGTAAGTTATTCAGTATTAAATTTCAGGGGTGTATGTGTGTGATATGCATACTCAGGATGGACTGTCTGCACTAGACTTTCACTAAACATTTCTCACCATTGCTACCACTGGCTCAGCTTCATTAATGGTAGCAGATGTAGGAGCTGTAGTATGAAATCCTTGCCCCACTGAAGTCAGTGGGAGCTTTACTGACTTCGGTGGAGTCAGGATTTCACCCCTAGTGTAGAGAGGTCTCCAGGCAGCTGCCAGTATTGTAAGCACCAAGTCAACTAATTCTGCTCACAATGAGTCTACATGACTCGGTGCTTAAAATGCTGGCAGCTGCCAATGCTTTGTCTTCATTAGCAACTCCACCATTATTACCCTGTTGGAAAGGCAGTGATGGGAGAGCTTAGAGAAAGAAGCCTAGTGTAGACCAGGCTATATTGATTTTAGAGAACAGTGACACTTATTTTTTCTTTTCTTCTGAATTAGTGCTTTGGATGCTGAAAATGAGTATCTAGTGCAAGAAGCTCTAGATCGGCTTATGGAAGGGAGGACAGTCCTAATTATTGCTCATCGTCTGTCTACCATTCAGAATGCTGATTCTGTTGCAGTTCTTGACCAAGGCAGAATTACTGAATGTGGAAAACATGAAGAACTTCTTGCAAATCCAAATGGACTTTTCAGGAAACTAATGAAGAAACAAGCTTTTCTTCAGAATAGTAAAACTTTTGCATTAAATGTGTAAAATTCAGAGAGAGAGAATTTTTAAAAGAAAATGTATGAAAGGAAGTATAAGGAATAGAAACTTACAAACTACAAAGAATATAACTTGTTTCTAGTTATGTAAAGTAAATGTTCTATTTTTTCCAAAGTGTACAAAATATCATTTTGAAACTTAGATGTGTTAAACTTTTTATTCAGAGATTTTTAATAATTATTGTAACTTTTTAAATGTCCACAGCACTGAAATTGTTTTCAAAGTGTATAGATTCTTCTGCTTTGTGGTAACTTAATTGATTCAGTATGGCATTTTCTCTATTTTAATGCATTGTATAGCAATGAACTCTATTCTCAAGCAAGTTCCTAATTTTAGGGAAATTAAAATCCAGAACCTGGTAATTTCACCACCATCTCCTCTTGCGTACCAGGGACCTTTTGTTTTCTGGGCTTATCACTGTACTTTGACTTTAAAAGACTGAAGTTCAGAATTGTGTGACAGTAGTGGCATGAGAGAAACTCTTCAGTCTCCTTTTTCACATGCTGCTTTTTTCTCTTCCCTTTCAAAATAAAACTGGAAGTTGAGGGGTGTAATCACCATCTGCAGTAACTGTAGATAATTATTTATAAACAGAAGTTATTTTAAATTATTTGGAAGCTTGGATGGGGAGTAGTACTCTTGAAAGCTTCAGGTTTTACAGCTAGGGCAAAGGGAGCAGAATTGCTGCTTAAACATTAGTTTGTAGTAGAAAATTCTAAAGTTTGCATGCATCTTCTCATTGCTGTATTCTTCTGGTCTTTACTTTCATTACACTCCTAAAGGTGACCTTTGAAGGAACAAACAGTGCGCTTGTGCACTTTTTTGCCTCCTTGTAAAGGGTATATAAATCATGCTCAAAGCTTTATTTGCAACTTTTTTCTATTCTCTGTTAGAAATTCAAGTCTTGTTTGGCTATGAAGACTCTGGGGCAACCAGAAAATTAGTGAAATTACAATATCACAATAAAAGACTGAAAGTTGAGCAACTGAGATGGGAGGGAATATTTAGTCAGTTGTTTAACACTTCCCTAACTCCCATGACTACCTGAATGCTTGGGTGAAAAGATGCTTCATTAAATATGCAAAACCCTTGTCCCTTCAACTAAGGAGAAGTACACAAAAGTGTGAGAGCACCAGCAAATCCAAGCAGGACCAAATTTGATGTTCCTGATACGCAAGTTAAAAAAACAAACAACCCCCTCCCCCACTTCTAATACAGACCTTTTTTTATTCATTGTGGAGAAATAAACAAAAATCCAAAGCCAATTTAAAAAAACATTCTTTTGCAACTCACCTTAAGAGCAGTCTATGCTGGCATAAGCTTATGCATTGTTAAAACAATTGTAAGCAGCAGGTGAATTTCCTAGTACAGGGTAAGGCCTCAGTAAAATGTATGCTTGAGAATGTTTTAGGAGGAAAACCTCTACCTTAGTTATGCCAATAATTAGGGTTGCCAGGCATCCAGTTTTTGACAGGAATGCCCAGTCGAAAAGGGATCCTGGTGGCTCCGGTCCGCACTGCTGACCAGGCCTTTAAAAGTCCAGTCGGCGGTGCTGCAGGGCTAAGGCAAGCTAGTCCCTACCTGTCCTGGCACCGCGCTGCGCCCCGGAAGTGGCCAGCAGGTCTGGCTCCTAGGCGGGAGGGAGGGGGGGAGACCTGGGGCTCCGTGCACTGCCCCCACCCCAAGCACCAGCTCTGCACTCCCATTGGCTGGGAACTGCGGCCAGTGGGAGCTGGGGGAAGATGGTGCCTGCAGGCAACAGCAGCGTGCGGAGCCTCCTGGCCCCCCCTGCCTAGGAGCACAGTGCCAGGACAGGCAGGGAGCCTGCCTTAGCCCCGCTGCACCCCTGACTGGGAACCGCCTGAGGTAAGCCCCAGCCCGGAGCCCCCCCTGCACCCCAAACCACTCATCCCCGGCCCCATCCCAGAGCCTGCACCCCTAGCTGGAGCCCTCACCTCCCCCTGCACCCCTGCCCCAGCCCAGAGCCCCCTCCCACACCCTGAACTCCTCATCCCAGAGTCCATACCCCATCCTGCACCCCAGCCGCCTCCTGCACTCTGAATCCCTCGGCCCCAGCCTGGAGCCCCCTCCTGCACCCCAAACCCCTCATCCCCAGTCCCACCTCAGAGCCTGCACCCCCAGCCAGAGCCCTCATCCCCTCCCACACCCCTGACCCAGGCCGGAGCCCCCTCCCGAACCCCTCATTTTTGGCCCCATCCTGGAGCCCACAACCCCAGTTAGAGTCCTCACCCCCTCCCACACCCCAACCCCCTGCCCCGGCCCAGTGAAAATGAGTGAGGGTGGGGGAATGTTGAGAACGGGGTGGGGCCTCGGGGAAGGGGTGGACTTAGGTTGTTTAGTTTTGTGCGATTAGAAAGCTGGCAACGCTATATGCCATTGTGTGAAACATTAAAAACAATTCTAAAAACCACTGCAGGCTAAAAATGCTGACAGAGAATGCTTTAACTTCAATACTTCCTACACATTATTTCTCTCTATGTACCCTTTCAAATGATGGGCTTGTTCCTAAAAACCATTACTCATGTGAATAATCATTCCTCAGGTAAGGTGCAGAATGAGCTCATAAACTCTGCACTAGGTGTCTGTGTGGACCCTGCTGCCACACTAAAAGTTCCATTGCGTGCTTTAATCTACTCCCATTTCAAAACAGCCTAGATTAAAGCACACCATGAAACTCTTCTCACCTATACTGTTTTGAAATGGGAATAGATTTAAGTGCACTGCAAAACTTTTAGTGTGTGGCAGCACGGTCCAGATGGACACCTAGTACGTGGCAGGCTAATATGGGTAGATTTACACCCCAGCTTGCCACGAATTGTGTTCCTATAAACAAGCCCTAAGAGTCATTGGGATTTGGGCTCCTAAGTCACTTAAGCCTTTTTGAAAAATTTAGCCAGTTCGAAACCACCATGCACCTGCTGCAGGGAGCTGTGATTTTCATTGTGGGTAGGTGCCCAATCCACAGGTCCTGCAGCGCATGCTGGGAGTACTGGATGTGGATGTGGCACACTGTATGTGGCCAATACAGCATAGCTAGTGATGTTCTGCACAGTTTTGTTTTATACCACTGCAAGCCTACTAGTTCAAGCTTCAACAATACAATTCTTCAGCTTTGAGGCTTTGTAGGGAGATTTACTCTTTCTGCTAAGAAAACCAGTGTGTTTTTAAAAACGCTCCCAGTATTGCATTCTGGTTCGATTAAGGGAAGCTTCAGTGGTTGCCAGTATAGGCTAAACCCAGCAAACTGTTAGTGTGCATCTGAGACACTATCGACACACTTGCTTTGCCAAGGACAATTTTATTTCATCCAGTCTGCTAACTCAATGTGGTCTTGTGAAGGAAAATGGGCCACGCTTAGGTGGAGTATCTGAGTAGTGCACTATAGCACCCTATGTAAAATGAACTTGTTTGTTATACTCACTGATCGCATTTTCCAGCATTGCCCTCTTCAGTTGTTTTTAGTAATTTTTTTGTATCCTGAATTAAAATTTATAAATAAAAAATTTATTGCTTCTGTCATCTCATGGTAAGACATACTGCTTCATAATGATGTAACAAGAACTTGGATCATTTCAAATAATGATTAAACAGTTCTCCTTCCAAAGACTTGAAATTTAGAACACTAATGGTGATGTACTGAATGAGAGTACATAGAACTCCCATATAATTTAATGGAAATCTTGTTCAAAACTCTGAAAGTGGAATATGGCTCTGTTTTCTGTGGCATCACACTTAAAAAAAAATCCCCATTTAGTTACTCCCTCAATTTAATTATTCCATACTTGACATTTCTTGGATTGTTGTACACATTAAATAAGATGACCAGCCTGTCCAACTTCAAAAGCCAAATTCTCAGAGAGAATGAGTAACTACTTTCTTCATTTGGAGTTGTAGGCACTCAACAGGTGTTCAGCATCTATCAGGATTTGACCCAAAGAAAATAAAAACCTTTTCTGTAATGTATAATTGTATTTAGTGTTGAGTGCTTGCTGCCCCAGTGACAGGCTAGCATTGACTGCTCCGTTCACTGTGTTTCTAATTTCGGATAGTATGAATGCTTTCCTGAGGGAGCTAGGACACTGAAAATAAAACCACTGTCTTGCAAGAATTATTTTGATTAGCTATATTTAAATACTGAATAAAGTATTATCACTGTTAATTATTGGCATGTTTGAAATAGAGAAGATTCTTTAATTCAAGTAGCTGACTGCTGCTGTCAAACTATATTTTTATCGTCTGATGCATAGAACCTCCCTCATTCTCTTCAAAGACTGCACATTGGCAGTCTACTTCTTGTGCAATACAAAAGATTATCATTCCTGACAGAGTGCTTAAACAATACTGCCTTCACACCATTTCCACACTGCTGGGGTTAGGGTAACAGTTGTTCAACTGTCTTGAGAAAGTTTAGTGGCTGTGTTAAACCAGTCAACCAAAAAGTTGTCGGCACCTTAAAATGAAGGCTACAAATTGTTGGAGAAAGGAGCCAGGTCAACAGTTGATTTACTCTACATGTGAAGAATAATCTTTTGTATTTTGTGTGATGCAAGAAGCTGCATTTCTTATTTTTTGAAGAAAAACATTACTCTTCTGTCCGTTAGGCACATTAGTTTGAGCCTCTGTATTGTCCCCCAAGATACCTTTGTATTCAAATAAATTAGGTTCATATGAACCAGCTGCCATAATATCAGTTCTTAAAGTTGTATACTAACTCTGCAGATCACAAGTCTGCCTGCTTGTATCTCCTAAAACAAACTGTCTTCCCAGACAGGTAGGCAACTCCCTAATTTTCTGCAGTAGCCTTTAAACAAAAATCTATTTCATGTCTATTACTTTTCCAGAATTTCAAGACAAGCTTGATCTTTTTGAAGAGGTGAACCTGAGCATTAACATCTCTGTACATACCAAATAATTGGTGATGGGTGAGGGCAGTTCTGGGGCAAGTACTGTCTTCCTGGTCTGTAGAGCACCTAGCACAATAGGGTCCTGGTCCATGACAGACTCCTAGGGGCTATGATAATACAAATAATAAAGAATAATTTAATTTCAAAGTTGCTAGTTCAAATCCAGATCAGGTCACCATAGTCTTTTATTCAATGCCATATGTGAAATGAGATGATTGTCTAAGTTCATTTCCTAGATGAAAAATGGCTAATAGGTACAATTAGCACTAGTTGGCATTCTTTCTCCTGTGCCAACGTTTGAATTACTGTACCTCCTCTCCCCCGGAGGCAGTGCACAAGAACAGTTAAGATGGGTTGACAAGGCAATGAGGGGAAGCTTCATTGCAACAGTAGCTGCTTTGTTAATTAATAAACACAATTTAATTAAGCAAACCTGTTGTAAGTACTATATTCTTTTAAAGTTTGACATAAGTTATGTGATGGGGAACTAAATAACATTATAAAGTGTTTTTAAATCTGTTTTGATGGATGTTGGGAGGAGTGGATTGCACTCCAGTTCCTTTTTTGGTTCCCCAGCCCTCACTTCCTTGTATTGTTTGCATTCATTTTTGTGGTTGTTTTGTTTTTATGAAACAGCTATAACATGTGAGTTCCATGCCATTACATAGGGGTGAACTATCATAACAAGGAAGGACTGCAGGATAATAATTAGTATAGAATGGTACAATGAAGTCCTATTGGACATTCTGATTTATCCCCTCCTGTAAAGCAAGAACCAGAGGACACCAGCTGAAATGAAAAGGCATCACCTTTAAAACATCTGGAAGGAATTTTATGCAGCAATTATAACATATCTAATACTGCAGGTATGATTGAGGCTAATAGCTTAGTAATATTTTAAAAAATGGACATATGAATATGAATAGTAACTGTTGTTTCTCTAAGGAGGAAAAGTAAAGGGTTGGATCCTCAACTGATATAAATCAGCAGAGCTCTATTGGCTTCAAATTATGCAAAGGAGGATTTGTCTGTCTTGAAGCAAGAGTAAGCCTATTAATAGCCTGTGGGCCACATCCACAACTGGTGTAAATTGACATATGTCCCTAACTGGAGATCTGGCTCAAGAACTGTTAAACTTATCCCTCAAAACAAGAAGCTAATCCCCATGTGAGGGTCAGGAAGAAATTCCTTATACCCTGTATTTTTATACTGTACAATTGGCCAGGTGCCATACTTCTCAATGCACCAAGGCCCAAATATGAGATGCAATGTGTGACCCACCCAAAGCAAGGGGCATAAGAATTATTTATGCAACTTGGTTTTGGAAGCTTAATGATGTAGAGGTCATTACTGTATTTCAGGGAGTGTATGAAGGTTTTGGAAGAACATGGAATGGGGTGAGAGGGATGGGGATACTCCCTGACTTCCTTTGTGGTGTGTGGAGTATGAAGAAGTGCTTATGTTTGCAATGAGAGAGGGGTGCTACTTGTGCCTGTGGTGTGGGATTAGCGAAGTCCATCTCTACCCTCCCTACTTCAGCATAATGATGCGTGTGTTCCTGATGCTAGGGAGCCTGTCAAC